CCTGTTTTTAACAAAAACCCAAAAATGATTTCCCCAAGCGAAATGTTCTCTTTGTTCGAACATGCCCGAAAAACCCCAGTAAAACAATACTCATTAGGATAAAACCCACATTCAAGCATGTCAAAAAAAGCACTAATAGCCTCACATTCTTTCTCATTATTAGCATAACAAGAAATCAATGCGCTCCATGAAACCAAATCTCTCTTGTTTCCCATACTTTCAAAGATTTCATGTGCTTGTTGCCAATCACCACATTTTGAGTAGAGACTGATTAAAGAGTTCAAAATGACCGAGTCAAGCTCGAGTCCCGACTGAGTCAAACGATGATGGACGAGGTGACCCAGTTGGTAATTATGTGACCTGATGCAGGATTTGAGGAGGAGAGAGTAAGTGATGAGGTCTGGGTGGGCCCCTTGTTGGGACATTTGATCAAGGGTCGAGATTGCTTTCTGGAGATGACCCGCATTGAGGTGGTGAAACAGACGGTCCTTGAGGGAGTACGAGCTGCTGTCTTGGGGTTTGAAGGTTGTTGACGATGGAGGTTTTTGGCGGGAAGGGTGGTTGGTGGGTTTTGGAGAAGGTAGAGGGATTTTGGCGGGAGATGAAGGTAGAGAGAGGCTTATCATTGTTCGTTATGACAATCTGATGTCTGAAGAGGTCCTTCAGTTTGGTTATTATGGAGTAAATTCTCTTAATCCCTCAGTTTTGAACATTGTTATAAATTAGTCCTTTAACTTTTATCATTTATTGTCTTAGGTTATTAGTCCCGTCGCATCTCCAAATTCCATGTCTTTTCCGTGCAAAATTTCACTGTACAAACGAGAAGGAAAGTAAATCTGGATTGAATTATCTTGTTCGGCCACTTTATTCAACCTCTTTCTTTAGCCTGCCATTAACAGCATGCCAAAACTATAAATGTCAGCTTTCCGTGAAATACTTCAACGTTTTAATAGAAACAAATCTGGTGCTATGTATCTTTTTTTTTTTTTAATTAACGTGGGTGTCCGAGCCAGCTTACGCGCACCATGACTAATCCTACGGGTCCTGAAGTTAACGACTATGTAAGCCTTCAGTGACCATCATATGAGCAATCAAGGACTCGAACCTAAGACCACAGAGAAAGCAAACCCCTTGATTCTAAGTCCTTACCACTTGGACACCACCTAGATGCCATGTATCTTGTTGTTCCGGTTGCTGCAGTCAGAAACAGTGGTGCTGCTCGAAGGATACAATTTAGCAAGTCCGAAATCAGAAACTTTCGGAGTGAAATTCTCTCCAAGAAGAATGATGTGTAGCTTGATGTCAAAATGCAGAATCTGCATTTCACAGCCCCGATGAAAATATTCAATCCCACCAGCCACCTCAAGAGAAATCTCATACATTTTTTGCCAACTCAAAAGGGTATTTCCTTTTCGAGATAGAAAACATTTACCGAGAGATCCATTAGGCATGAAGCCATGCACTGAAGGACGCGTTGATCACTCGTCACAGAAACCAACGGGCCTAACATGGTGAATCCTTACGAGAAAAATTAGTATTGAAAGAAAAAAACCAGGAAGAAATAAATAACAAAGAGCGCTTGCGGAACGTTAGATGTTGGCTTTGAGTGTTTGAATAAAATAGGCACTTAGCCGACTTAGTTAGAAATTAATGAAAATCCTAAAATAATAAGAAAAATAAAAAATTCAAAAATATCTAGGAAAAACTAAAGAAAATTACAAACAACTTAGGTTTAGTTTTAAGACCTTCCCTACCTGAACTTTAGCCGACATTGTTATAAAACAGAGTGGTAAAATTGAAGTATGATTCAATGATTAGATAAAAAATTATGCATGTTTTTATTAGAAAAATCATTTGATGCGTCTGAATTTTTTCTTAGGCTTAAGCTCATCCATTTAGTTCATAATTCATGTGATACCGAAAAAAAGAGAGATTTAAGAGAAGTAAGATGGGAGCAGTAAAAAGTCGAGGGTTAAAAGAAATCGAGTTGAAGAGGAGCGAAAAGAGATGAAAAGGGAGGAGATTAGAGGGTTGAAAAATCAAGATTAACAAGTTTAATCCTTTTTTTAACCTGGAGATTAATCAAGAAAAGAATACATGAGAAAAGTTAAAAGCAATATAAACTACAATCTTAAATGATAAAGTGCAAAAACCAGAAAAATGAAATTCAACTAATCAAAAGATTAAGTGATTTATGGGCCACATTGCTAAACAATGATGATATATAACTTGGATCATGCTAGCTCAAGTTGTTGTTAATGTAGCTTGTATCATCGACGTTGTTATGTATTTAATTAGCTGATCTTCTTCTCCCCTCTCTGTTTTGTTTCACCGTCACTTCTCACTCTTTTGATTTTTCTTTGTTTTTATACTGTCATTTTCTTTTAAGATAACAAAAAATAAAAATAAAAGGACGAGAAAATAAAAGTAGTAAGAAAAATTTTAGCAGAAAACACCACTCAATTTCCTTGTTTCTTCTTGTCTCTGTTTTTCAAACTTTGATGTGCAGATGGAGTGTAGATGGAGACCACACTAAGGCTGGATCGATTAGGATGAGCTTTTCCTGTCGGTTTTTAGTATTTTATATATATATATATATATATATATATATATATATATTTAGAAAATCTTGATATTGTAACTGCAAGATATTAATAGGATTCTTTTTTATATTTGCTTTTTATATTTTTAGTATGCCAGTTGTATTAACTTTTATATATATTGTATCTAAAATCCTAGTTGGTTGAGGAAGTTACTAATTTATATGGACTAATCATTCTAAAATACAAAACTTGATGCTCCTTATATTTTGATTTTTTACTAGTTTTATTTTATAATATTCTTATTATGGTTTATTTGAAAACTTTATTACAAGAATCTAAATTCATATTTATATGTTTATATATTTATTATTATTATATTATCTTATGTATGTGTATTGTTCACTGAATTGTTGAACTTATTTTTATATTATTTATAGTTTTTATGCTTATAATTTGCTAGCAACTTGTTATTTTTTACCTTTAGAGTTTGTTCTTTAATTGTAATTAGTACTTTTTGAGTATGTCTAGTTAATAATTCGCAATTACAAAAGTTTGTATTTAACTCTTAAATTATATTATAAACTAAATTTTATATTAGTGTTTTGTTAAACAATGCTTGAGTTATTTGAAAAAATAAGTTTGTATGTAAGTTTAAACCTATATGCTAGTCGTGGATCGGAAATTGGGTTGTGACATAATATCTTATACCAAGATGTATAACATTTCATCATTTCCGGATGAAATCATTAGAGGAAACAATAGTTTTCCTTTGAATTGGACCAGACCAGAATGTGGATTTTGTGAAGAGCAAGGCAAGTACAGTAAATTGAAGGCTAACACTTCCATGCTTGAAACTGAATGTTATGACAAGCCCAAATCAACTAGAGGTATATTCATACTTCCACATTGTATGATAGTTTTGCAGTATCTTATGATTCTTCCAAGTTCCGTCAACTTTACAAGCTAAAAGAAACCATTTCTATTTCAGGAACCACAAGAAAGATTGTGGCTGCTGGTGGGTTGTCTGTGCTTTCCGCTTTTATGCTGTGTTAATATTTTCTTGCCTGTAGTAATTGTGTAGAAGACATGGATTCTTGACTAGTAATTTTTTTATGCAGTTACAACTATTGGTTCGTTTCTTCTAGTACTATTGGTTGTTGCATTCTACCGCAGATTAAGGTCTGACAAAGCAGCAAACAGAAAACCAATAGAGGGTTGAAAGATTTTGGAGGATTATAAAGTTCACAAGCCTGCAAGATATTCATATGCCGATATCAAAAGGATTACAAATGACTTAAAGGAAATTCTGGGTCCGGGAACTCGGAAAAGTGTTTAAGGGAAAGCTTTCTGTTGAAATCTTTGTTGCTGTGAAGAACTGTTTCGACAGGAAACGGGGACGAGTTCATTAATGAAGTAGGAATAATGGGAGAAACATGTCAACATTGTTCGCTTAGTTTATGATTCAAAAGGACCCTAGTTTATGAGTACCTTGCAGATGAATCACTATAGAAATTTTACTTCAGTTCTTGGAAAGAGTGTACCTCTCGGTTGGAAGAAGCTTCAGGATTTTTCCCTTTGGCATCGCCAGAGGCATCGAGTATCTTCATCAAGGATGTGACCAGAGAATCCTTCATTTTGACATTAAGCCTCAGAATATCCTGTGGATGAAAATTGCAATCCAAGAATTTCTGATTTCGGTCTGGCAAAATTATGTTCCAAGGTTCAAAGTGCTGTTTCCATGACTATAGCTTGAGGGACTATGGCCTATATTGCACCTGAAGTTTTCTCTAGGAACTTTGGGAACGTGTGCTATAAGTCTGATGTTCACTGTTTTGGGATGGTATTGCTAGCAATCGTTGGGGGCAGGAAAAATACAGATGATACAGCAGAGAACACTGGCCAAGTATACTTCCCAGAATGGATATACAACTGTTTAGCTGGAGGAGAAGAGCTGAGACTCGGGATCCAGAAAGCGGAGGATGCAGAAATTGCAAAGAAACTTGCGATTGTAGGATTTTGGTGCATTCAGTGGCACCCTATGGATCGTCCCTCAATGAAAACTGAAGTTCAAATGTTGGAAGGAGAAGGAAACATATTTGCAATGCCTCAGAATCCTTTTGCCTTTCTGGTGCAGGAAGAATGAATGCAAATATGGCTAGCGGACAGCTTCACCATGACCTGGTTGCGATTCAGAGATGGAAAGTAAGATCATGATTAAGCCCAGCAATGTAATTTTTCTTCCACTAAAGGTTCTGAACTAGTTTCCAAAAGTGTAATTTTGCATGACATACCATACAATAAATTAATTGCACATATATTTCATTTTTTTACTAAGTTTGATGGGCATCATGGTGAGGCACATGCCGTTTCTTACCTGAAGTCAAGTTAATTGTTATAGGCTGAGCTCTGCAGTGAAGGTAACCTCAACACTAATACACATTAGAAAATTGCTCAAACTAAGAAGAAAGAATTCTCAGCAATTTTGAGAGAAAAATCTCTGCCAAGGAATCTCACTATCCTCAAAGTATGTACATGAGTAAAATTTTTGCAGAAAGAAGGTAAAATTGAGCCTTTACAGATTAGTTATTCAACCAGAGTTTACAAGTAAACTAATTGTTTCATTCGAGTCAAATACCATAGAAGATGAACATGTTTCGTCTGTAGAGTAAGTGTAATTCGGAGGTGTTTCATCTGGAAATAGAACAGGTTTTGGAGGAAATTCTAGGCTTTCAACATCTCCTTCAAGCATCTCCACAACTTTGTTCATTGGAGGACGATTAATAGGCTTCATCTGTATGCACCACAGCGCCACTATAATCATTTTCTTTGCCAATTTATTTTCATCTTTTGTAGCATCTCCAATTTCAACCCTTCCATCAACAACTTGGTTGTAAACCCAATCAGGGAAGTAGTTTTCGCTGTTACTCTCTGTCACCGGATTTGTATTCTGTCTCTTTCCAACCATTTCCATTAACAACATACCAAAACTGTAAACATCAGCTTTGTAGGAAACACTACCGATGTTTTTGTAGAACAATTCTGGTGCTATGTATCCTATTGTTCCTCTTGCCGCAGTAAGCATGACAGTGTTGTTATTTGTAGGATACAATTTAGCAAGTCCAAAATCAGAAACTTTTGGAGCGAAATTCTCATCAAGAAGAACATTGTGAGGCTTAATGTCAAAATGTAGAATCTGCATGTCACAACCTCGGTGTAGATATTCGATGCCACGAGCCACCCCCAGAGAAATTTCATACATTTTTTGCCAGCTTAAAGTGGTATTCCCTTGTCGAGATAGAACATATTTGTCAAGTGATCCATTAGGCATGAAATCATATACAAGCGCACGCTTTGATCCCTCAGCACAAAAGCCAATTAATCTCACAACATTAACATGGTGAATCCTTCCAATTGTCGCTACTTCATTGATGAAATCTTGACCATTTGCACTGGACTTGTCCAGCATCTTTACTGCTGCAAGATGTCCACTACGAAGCTTCCCTTTATAGACAGATCCATAGCCTCCTTGACCTAACCTTTCCTTGAAACCATTGGTTATCTTCTTAATATCCGAGTATGAGTACCTTATGGGTGCAAAGTTATTTTGACTTTGCAAAAATTCTTCAATAATGTCATACATCGATAAATGTCTCCTTAGCCATTTATATATCAAGAATGCGAACACAAATGGACTGCACAGTACAGTTCTCACAATGATGAGTCCCGCTGTGTAGTAAAAATTTCAGGAAAAAGAAAGTCAGCTGCTATTGGCATCTTTGCCTGCTGGAAAATATGATTTAAACTTATAATCCAAAGAAACAGAAAGGCTCTTACCAATCATCATCAATATAAACCACCAAAGTGCTGTAAGAACAAAATAACATTAATCAGGGGAGTCATAATCAGATAGCTGAAACCCAATTACACTATCTTCTAAACCAAATGCAAGCTGAGAAAGGGAGGGGCTAGAAACATTGTCCTCATGAAATACTCACCCTGCCTAACATGATCACATGTTTGGCCTACCAATGCATAGACTAAGAGGCTCCTGTTATTTTTTGGTATTTATGCATGCTGTTGCAGCTTCGTTTTCGAAACCATATCTATAAACAACGGATAGCATCCATTTACCATTCTATCAGGTCCATAGGCATTGTGAGCTATTTTCCATCTCTAAAATTCACAGCCAAAAATGACCTCTTTAAAGACTAAATTTTTATCTACATTATGATGACATCTTGTGGCTAGATAAACATTTTCTGCAGAAATTTTTCATGGTGATGTGGGGGAAGTGATCAGTGCTAGCTGCTAGGTGTATGCTTATGCAAAGCAAGAGCCAGTAATAAAATGGAGAGAGAATCCTTACATCTGATTTGGTTGATTATTTGTTCAAATATACCTACACATTACGAAAAACAGATAAAATCAGCAAAAAAAGAGGGAAGATAAATCTATAACAGAACAAGAGTGCTGCGATTATAAACGAAAATGGAATAATTTATGACCAAGTGGCTCAGTCGGTGCCATTAACTCTACCAAGATTGTTTGATCAAAACAAGGTTAGTATTGTCAAATATGCAAGGAATTCAAAGTTTCAGCTGAGCTATGATTTTTCTTGAAAACAAAGGGATCCACACACGGTAAAACAAGACAGTAATTGCTTACTTTCTGTGGGACAGGGAAAACCGTCGCTTGGGAGGTAGCACTTTTCTTTTCCTTTGCAAATTCCACAGAATACTTCTTTCCACCAAAGCTCAAATCCATAGACAAGTCTATTGTGGATGTCCATGTAGGAAATGTTTCTGTAATCTTTTATCAGCAACGATGACATAGCAATTAGCTCCACTTTGCACAAGTTCTCCACATATGACAAATTGGCCTCAATTAGAACATAAGAATTTGTTACATTGATGCAGGGAGCAGTATCCATATAAAGAGGAGACTTCACCGGATTCGCACACTTCATGAACATCATTATCTTCTGTGATTCATTACTGGGTGACCAAAAGGAGGTTCGCCAATCGAAAGGGTCTCTGTAACTGAAGTTGCTTCCTGTCAAAGAATGCTGAGGGAGAGAGGAGCAGTTACCCTTATTAACGTTGGAATCAACAACTCTAATTGTGGAGTTATTGTAATTAATAGACTGTACAAGGTATCTTCCTGAATACATGTACAGGACTGTCTGATTGTTCTCACATGATAGCTCGTAGAAAGAGAAACCACAGTTTGGTGGATCCCCTTTTAGCCTAAAAGGCAAGCTGATGTTATGGAGACGGCCACAAGAAGAAGGAGCACAAACATGATTAGTCTGTGATCTGCAAGTTTGGACTTGGATACATATGATGAGAAAGAGAACAAGAGCTGTGCCTGTGTGACTGGCAAGGAGGATCTTTGTTGCAGACATCTCAAGAAAGTCAGAGGTTCTGCAAGTACGGGGGCATGAAACGTGTTGATAATGTAAAGGCAAGGGCACCTCTTTGGAGCTTAGAGCATCTCCAGTAATAAAAAGTTAGAAATAAAAAAAGTATTATTTTAATTTTTTTTAATTTACATATTTTAAAAAATTACTAAGTAAAAAACTATTTTACTTTTTTTATAAAAATATTATTCTCATGTATCTTACAAAAATACTTAAATACTATTTATTATAATACTATTTTTTATTTTAATTTTAATTTGTATTTTTTACAAGATTATTCTAATTAATTATTTATTTAACGAGTTTATTCATTTGACTTGTATTATTTTTTAGTTTTTTAATTAATTATTTTTAAATTTATTATTTAATATTAAATTTATTAAAAATAATTTGGGTTATTTTTAAACCTATCAAATTAACTCTAACATCCTAAATTATTTAAATAATTATGTATTTAAATATAATAAGCTCTTTTAAAAAGCTATTTGTCAATGGAATACATAAAATAAATAAAAAATGTTTACATTATTCATAGTCATATTATCAAATAAGATGTCTGCCATGCGCACAAATTAATTCAACGAAAGTCAGAGGTTCTGCAATTACGAGGGCATGAAATGTGTTGATAATGTAAAAGCAAGGGCACCCCTTTGGATCTTAGAGCATCTCCAGTAATAAAAAGTTAGAAATAAAAAAAGTATTATTTTAATTTTTTTTAATTTACATATTTTGAAAAAATACTAAACAAAAAAATACTTTACTTTTTTTATAAAAATATGATGCTCACGAATCTTACAAAAATATTAAAATATTATTTATTGCAATACTGTTTTCTTATTATTTTTTTAATTTATATTTTTTATAAGATTGTTTTGATCAATTATTTATTTGACAAGCTTATCCAATTAATTTGTATTATTTTTTTATTTTTTTAAATTTATTATTTAATGTTAAATTAATTAAAAATAATTTAAATTATTTTTAAATATGTTAAATTAACTAGATGATCCTAAATTGTTTAAATAATTATATATTTAAATATAATAAGCTCTTTTAAAAAGCTATTTGGCAATGGAATATATATATAAAAAAATGTTTACACTATTCATAGTCATATTATCAAATACGATGTCTGCCATGCGCACAAATTAATTCAAACTCGACTTAGTTTTTTTTTCCCCATTTGGTTCATAAACAATCGACTATATTCCCTGGTTTGGAAAGGTATCCATTTATTTTTATTAAAAAAAAAAAAAAGGCCTATGGATATTGCAATTTAAAATGCTATTATTGGAGTCCCTTTCAAAATTATTGGGATTTCCAGCATCTGGGCAGCGTTAGCTGATGCATCTTTAAGAACAAAAACAAAAAACCCATATTCATAAAGAAAATCATACATGTGAGTTGTGGAAAATGCAAAGGTGACAAATTTGACTACACTTTCCCCCACCCTTTTCTTTAATGGATCCATGGTTGACTTCTTCTTAGCAGTTCCCCATCACGCCATTCACTGCTCCAAGAAAAAACAATGGTATTCGCTGCATCTGTGTGCACCACAAGGCTACAATAATCATTTTCTTTTCTTTTCATCTTTTGCATCTTCAATTTCAAGTATTTCTTCGACAATTTGGTTATAAACCCAAGGGGGGAAATAGTTTTCGCTGGAAATCTCTGCCACTGGATTAATGTTATTTCTTTTTCCAGCCATTTCCAATAACAACGTTCCAGAACTATAAACATCAGCTTTATGTGATACTGTTATAGATATATTCTTTATTGATTGCATAACTGAAGAGAGATTTTCTTTTCTCAATCAAAACTAATTGAGTAACCAAAGATCAGTTTTGATTCTTATTATAATTCTTGTAACAGTCAAACAAATTCTCATATATATATATAGCTGTATATTGTAAACAGAAGTAATAAGAAAAACCATTTTCTACATGGTATCAGCCTAAACCTACGATTCTTACCTATTTCTCTTCTTTTGGTGTTTCTCTTCCTTTTCCCTTTTTCTTTCTCATGGCCACCATCTCTTCGACTCTCTCTCGAAATATTGCTCAACTCACCAAATTTACTGAAACCAATTATCTCACCTGGCTTCGGTAAATCAAACCTTACCTTCACGATGCCAAACTTTGGGGATATGTTGATGGCACCATTCCTGAACCATCTCTTACCATCCTAACTACTGCTACTGACACTCAATTTGTAAGATCCATTCCTAATCCTGATCATGCTAGCTGGTTGATCATCGACCAACAAATTGTTAGCATCCTTACCACTACTGTAACAAAAAACATTGCACAGCTTACCATTGGTTTCGACATATCAAAGGCAATTTAGGACTGTCTTGAACGTCACTTTTCCTAAAAGTCTGTAGCCGGTACAACCAATCTCAACATGCAACTTCTTGATCTCAATAAAGGCACTCAATCTATTGACACTTATCTTCATCATGCTAAATCAATTATTGATGCTTTGATTTCTATTAACAAGCCTGATCTTGATGAGAATTTGGTCATCGCCACTCTTCATGGTCTTGGCCCTAATTATCTCATGCTTCATATCATCCTCACTCAAAATCCTCCGCTCCTAGATTTCACTAAACTTCAGGCTTGAATTCTCTCTTTTGATGCTCAACAATCTCTTCTTGCTGATTCTCCTACAGTCATTGCTCTTTTCAATCACAGCCAAACTCCCTCTACCCGTCATGATTACCGCTCTAATACTAGCCATTAATTTCCCACTAGTGGTCATCCCAACAATGGTCGCTTCAGACGTGGTAGCTTTTCTCAACAGCGTGCCCCTCCACAATCACAGGTTGGGTCTTCTTTTCCTATACAATAACAACATGTGCCTCTATTGGGGCCATTTACTTCACCAGCTAGGGCTGCTCATATCCATTAAATGGTATTCTTGGCCCAGCACCTCAATGGTGTCCCAATTGTCACTCAAGTCACTATGAACTTTCTCAATGTCCATATAGATTTTCTGGTCCAAACATTGCCACTCTATTTGCTGGTGTACATTATGCTGCTGATCCAAACTGGTATCCAAACACAGGGGCAACTCATCATATGACAACCATGCCTATTAATAATTCTTAACCTTGTGGTGGGCCGTATAATATCTATATGGGTAAAGGGAACTCAATGTCCGTTTTCCATACTGGTAACCTTCCCTTTTTATTAGGCTCTTCCACCTTTACTTTATAAAATGTCTTCTGTATTCCATCTATTTGTAAAAATCTTTTATCTGTTGCTCGTATTACTAAAGATAATCATATTTTCTTTTTCTTTATACCTGACTTCTATCAAATCTATTACTTATACACTGGATGTCTATTGTTTTAAGGCCCTTGTAAAGATGGTTTGTATCCACTTACTCTATCAAGCATCTCTACTTCTTGCAAGCCATTGCTTCTGTTCACTCCTCCATCTAGCAAAATTCATTTAGGTCATCCGTCATCAAATGTCTTTGCACGTCTAAGTACTACAATTAATTCCAAATTATCTTTTCCTTTTTTTTTTTATCGAGACTATGCACTTAGCAAATCTCACCAATTACCTTTTAATACCGAGACTATGCACTTAGCAAATCTCACCAATTACCTTTTAATTCTAACAAAGAGACTGCTATCACTCCTATTCATTCTATACACAATAATGTGTGGTCCTGCCTCTACTATTTTTGTAAATGGTTTCAAATATTATATTTTATTTATCGATGAATACTCACTACACTTGGATTTACCCCATATGTTATAAAAATGAAATCCTCACTTATTTTCAAACTTTAGTTGCCGATATTTAAAACATCTTTCACCAAACCATTCAATTTCTTCAAAGTGATAATGAGACAGAATATGTCAATAATGCATTTTCTCATTATTGTAAATCCTTGGAAATTCAACAAAGACTTTCTTGGCCCCACACACCACAACAAAATAGCTTTGCTGAACATAAACATCGTCATATTGCTACAATGACTCGCAACTTCCTCACTTCTGGTACTCCACATAATCTTTAGGTTAAAGCTGTTTTAACCTCTGTTTACCTTATTAATCTTCTTCTTACACCCACTCTTTATTGGGATACTCCACATACTCGTCTCTATGGTAACCCGCCTTTCTATTCCTTTCTTCGGGTTTTTGGATGTTTTTGTTTTCCTCATCTTGGGTTTTATGTCTCTAATAAACTTTCGAGTCATAGCATTGAATGTGTTTTTCTTAGTTACAGCTCTCAACACAAAGGTTATTATTGTCTAGATCCTACCACTGGTTGTGTCTATATTTCTAAGCATGTTATTTGTAACGAAATAATTTTTTCTTATAAATAGTTGTAGGCACATTCAATTCTCAATGCTGGCCTATTGGAATTCACACTTTTGTCCAGTTCAGAACTCTCACAACTTGTTTCTTCTGGTCTAAACTCACCTGCTGATAACAACAACTCTCCTTATCTTATGTCTCAACTAGAGCAGCGTGAAGTGGATGTTGAATTCTTGATTATAACATTATCGGCTCCATCCCAGTCTATAGCACCCATAGCCGCCCTCATCCTCACTTATCAGTGCCGAAGTTCATTACATCCAATTACTTTACAGATAGAATCCACCTCTATGTAGCCATCTGTCCCTGATGCAATTGTTCCACGACTGGTCTCAAGTGATCCTTCTCTTGTCTCTAATCCTCTAGCATCATCCACATCTTTATCACCTGCTCCTCAGTCTCTTCCTGTGCCACCAAGAACACTACCCTCTCCACCCAAGAGGATATGTCTACAACATAATATTGTGCAACCTAAAATTCACACGGATGACACTATTAAATATCCAATTCCTCTTGCTCTCCTCACTGTCATTGAAAATACAGAGCCCACATTCTACACTCAAGCTTCTAAACATGTGATATGGCATGCTATAATGGCTGATAAAATCAATGCTTTGCTGAAAAATAAAACTTAGACATTGGTTCCTTCTTCTTCCTCTCAAAATCTTGTTGGCTGCAAGTAGGTATTTCAAGTAAAGCATAACCTAGAT